TGTGACATTGGAAAACAGTTAGTGCATCATTTGGAATTTTGTATTTTATCGTTTCTGGTCAGATGAAAAGGACAGAAACAGCAACATCCCCCCTAGTTTTATTGAGACAAAGTCGCTTTTTTTGGCTTAGAACAGCAGCTGCCTTCTGAGGGGGTTCTCAGTGACTTTCTTAAAATTACGCGGAAAAGAATGCTCGAAACAAAAAAGCCGTCTAGATCCTCAGAATCGACCAGCAGACTGATAAAACGATTTTTCCAGCATTAATACCAGAGCAGCGATCAGAGCTAAAGCCAGCACACTGCGGAATTATGGCTAACCGGATGCCCGGTGCTGGCGATGAAGTTCTGGAAGCCGAGGGTACATACACGTATCGGCATCGTTTTTGTAAATATTTAACACCATTACGTACTGTCATCGGCTTAATAACAATTATAGGTAAGCTTGGTAGAAAAAAAAAATTCATTATTTTTTTTTTTTACTGGAATGGTCCTCACGTCTTCGAACATGCGATAACAACTGTTTCTTTGATAAAGAAAATGTGCATGTTAACCAAAACCTAGTGAAAGATACACATACATTTATATTACATGCAGCAAACTATCGTTATACAAAGAAAACTGCAACAGAAGGGAAGAATTAAAAAAAAGGTGGCTAGGCTGTAGGAAGCCGAAGCTCCCCGGAACAAGGTTGTTTTAGGAATAGCAACACTGGATGCTGGAGATGGGGAGAAGTGCTTTTATGTCCGAGTGACCATATACCAGAAAGGCTGCATAACTGTAAAAGGGTAGGGCGTCCAAAGACTGAACAGGGGACCAAGGGTGTTGCCCTGTTTAATAACTGAGCGATGCAGCTTCGGTTGCAGCAACTACCAGAAAGGTTGGTAGCTCCACTGGGCTGCAAGAGGACAGCTTGAAGTATCACTCGCGAAATGCTGTGCTTTCAGTGATCTGGTCATCGGCAGTACGTTCACTTTTAGCAGTAAGCGATTTTCTGATAGGAATATATTTGGCTGTTATTGGGATTCCAGTATTTCTACTCGAAGCCGGTTACATCATTCGCCTTTGCTGCGGGTTCAATTTTTTTTTTTTTTTTTTTTTGCTTTTATTTACAATGTGCTTGACAGTTTTGATGTAATGACAAAATAACACTGACCGTTAGATGCAAACCCTCTTGGTCCACTGGAGCGAATCCCTCGCTGTTGTTCGGTTGCTATGGCAAATTGGTATTCCATCTCCAGCATTTCAAACACAGATTTCCTTTCATTTTCCTTAATAAAAACTCTTGGGAGATATAATTATTAAACAACCCTGCCTAATTATTATTATTATTATTATTAATTATTAATTATTATTATTGTTATTATTATTAATTATTGTTATAGTCATAATTGTCATCATAATTGTTACTTATCACTATTTAATTGTTATAACAACAATTATTATTATTATTATTATTATTATTTAATTATATAATCATCAAACAGTTCTGCTAACAAATGATTGCTTTTGAAAAAGAGATACCACACGCGTCAGTCATAAGCCTTACTGGAATTAAGCGAGAAGAGGGGATGCTTTTTCGCAGGAATTTACCTGTTCATAAAAACTCGTTCAGGAATTGCTGATTTTTTCTCATTTTTTAGTTCAAATTTTATAAAAACTGATGAGACTGTAGAATATGTGTTGCTTCCAGGGTTGAGGGAGTGTGCTGTCGAACGTTCACGTTGATCCTCAATTTCGATGGAATCAGGCGTGGATTGTTGTATTTATCTTTTGCAGTGCTTTGTTTTTATCCAAAGATTACCGAACCCAGCGTCATTGCTGGTAAGTATATATTTTGCTACCTGACTTTTCTTTTTTCTATCGAAATACTATAAGCGAGCACTTGTTTTTGAACACACTATGGCAAAAAACGTATTGGATTTCCTTCCGAAGCTCTCCTGTTGCTGGAAAGTACCAAATTTCGTTCTTCCCGTACTGCTTCCGGTGAGTAATTGCTCTAAGCATAGGCCAATTCAGGACGGCCTTTTGGGGAGGAAAAGGGCGACGAGCGAGGAGGGGAGGAAGGGGGGGGGGGGGACGGGGGGGGGGA